GCCCTCCAGTGCAGTCCTCGCTGCCCAGGGTTCCCATTGCCCGCTCACCAAACGGGTCCCTGATTCAGCACCAAACTGGTCCCCAAGGAGTCCAGGACCTGGCTGTCGGTTATCCCACAGGCATCGGACCATAAGCTCTGCAGAGGACCTGGCTATCTCACAGGTGTCAGGCCATAAGCTCTGCAGCTGGCTGCCAGCCCCCGAGCCATCTGAGCTTGCCCAAGTTCTTGCAAAAACCTTGTTCACGTGTTTTTTAGGTTGCCACAGCCCCTCCAAGGGGAGAGCTTTTGAGTCATGTGTGGCAAGGGACAGCAAACATGTTTGTGCCCCTTTCTGAGCACTGGAGAGGGAGATGGTTGCTGCATCTCCATCATTTCTCTGCATTTCCTTGCCTGCTCTGCTCCAGCCCGGTGGATGGAGAATGATCTATTCTCTGGCAGAAAAGCCCTGTGCTAGTACAGGGAGAGATCATGGAGAATAGGAGCTGTAGCCTGCTGGTTTCTAACCTTTAACATTTCTTTTTTCTCCCCCTTTTTCATCCCACTCCTACTTAGAATAGAATCATAGAATCATATAGGTTGGAAAAGACCCTTAAGATCATCGAGTCCAACTGTAAACCTAACACTTGGTCCCCAACAAACCTCTTCATTTTGAGGCAGGTGGCTGAGAAAACTCCTCTGGTTATGAGTCAGTGAAAGGCTCTTAGGTTAGCTATTGAGGGTAAAACTGTCTATAAAAAGTAAATACAAACATCAGCCCTAGCTGTAAATGTGGTCATATCACTGACTGGCTTCAGCTCTGTAGAAAATCCCAGTGTAACTGGTCCCAGAGTCAGGTTTTGAGCATGCGCTGAGGGTTAGACTGGTGTCAGTGGATTGACTGTGCAAGAAAACGGTGCTGGACAGGACCCCCTGAAGGGTGAGACACAGCTGGGGATTGCAATTAGCACCAGCAACCCACCCCTGGTCTATAGGTTGTATTTGAGTGCTCTCTAGTGGGCAGAAAAATTAGTCCCGAGGCAAACACAGCTGATGCTCACGCTCCCTGAGCCGAAGTCACCCTCCCCTGGGTGTCTGAGGCTTTGGGTCCGTAATACCTACACACCATGGGCCTGTGCTGTGTGTCTGGGAGCAGGGTTTGGGAGGGCGGTTCAAAGCAGGGTCTTCTTGATCCGTGACCCTGCAGGGCAGAGGTTTGATGCAGGAGCAGTGCAGGGTTGCAGGGGATGCACGTCTTGTCGGATAAGAGCTCACACACGGAGCGCAAAGCAACATCCCAACCCCTTCCCCATTACGTGGCCTTTCAGTGCTTCTCCTTGTGTTGAAGGAAAACACCTGCAGGACCTGCTCCTGCACGCGCAGTCAGCAGGTAGAAGAGCAGATAAGTACTGTGGAAGGAGAATAGAAACATTTTATGGTTATGAAAGGGATTTCATGAAGAGGTGGGGGAAAATGATGATATTGACTCATTTACCAGCCACTGCTGAGCCTCCAGGAGCCCTCTGCTCCAAGAGCCCCACCAGTGCTGGACATAGCTGCTCCGAGGGAAGATAGTTCTTGTTTCATAGCACAAAGTGATAACCCACTAGATGTAGTGGAAACTTAGACTACTTCATTGTGACAAGAAGGTTTTTATGGAAGTCAGCTAAGGATGCAGGACATAAAGTGGTTATGTAGTGGATGCTCCTGGATCAGCAGGACTGTATTACTGAACCCAAATGTTCAAAGGTGTCCCAAAATAATGAGATTTGTAAGGATACTGTATTGCAATTGGGATTTACCTACATTAGGTACCTGAGGTTTGAGTTCTGAGAATAACTCATTGCATTCTTCTTTTATTTCTGTGTGAAATAACAGCTAAAAGATTTTTTTATGATGATGATGGTAAAAACTGAAACAGCCACTTGACTTATGAAACAGCTACACCAGCAATAGAGGTTATATGCATCTCAAATTCTTTGTTTAAAACCTGGCTTCTCCATTATCCCTGTGTTGTGGGGACTACTCTTTTAGGTTTTCAGGATGATACCATCTGTCAGCAAGAGCTCCTCTTGGAGCTTCCCAATGCTCAGACAACTTGAACACAAACGAAGCTCCTTCAACTTCCTGCTGAGCTTAATTACTTGTCTCCCATTCATTCTTTTCCTTCACTTTCTAGATGCCTTTGACTGAAATCAGACTGGCCTCCTTTTCTTTGAGCATCTTCTACTTGGAGCAGTCATCTTTGACCTTGCCTCACCTAGTGAGAAACCACTGAGGCTCTAACACAGTACCACACATACCTGCAGTAAAAAAATACGAGATTGTATATGGGCAGTTATTCTA